GTTTTAACCCTGCTTTTGCACGGAATGCTATATGATAGAAAAAATAATAATAAAAGTTACAAACAACAGTAAAAATCATAACATAATCATTGATTTCAGATACAACATCTATAAATTTAATCATGTCAAATTCAATGTATTAACATTTGTGAAAACTTAAAATGGAGCAAATAATAAAAATTTAAGTTTCTAATATATCAATCACTATTATATGTATTAAATTTATCCATGTAAAGGTCTTACTTGGTCAAATGATTATTTTTTGTACTCCAAATATTTGACATTGATTTTTATAATATTTGTTTTGTGTACTATATATGATATTAAATGTTATTGGCCAGGAATTTAAAAAATTTGAGACCAATTTCAATCGTTGGAAAACATGAATATTGGGCCCAGGGGCGGACGCAGACTTTAAGGACAACGGGGGCACAAACTACGGTCAACGGTCAACGTGGGATGTCAATGTCAAATCAATATTTAACCAACTAAAAAAAAATAAAAAGATTAAAAATTTTGATCAAACACTTTGTTTCTTATTTAATAGCTATAATTGAGTCTCTCATTCCCATTTAATAATAGACACATTTGATTCAACCCCTATATAGTATATACATTTATGTATAATATTTGTATTTATGTTTTTTTCAATTTTGGGAGATAAAAGGAATAAACAAGAAGTTGAGTATAGCATTATAAACCACTACAAGAAAACACTTCAATTCCAACGGCAAAAATTTCCGTTGAAAATTCCAATGAATATTCCAACAAACTTAATTTTATGTTGGAATAAGTGTTGGATGATTGAGGAATTTCAACAGATTTTTTTCCTTGGAATAGTTGTATGAATTTATTTTCATAGGATTTTCCGTTGGATTTTAGCTATTCCAACGGCCGTTTTTTTACAAATTTTTATACGTATGAATATCCGTTGGAATTGCTATTCCAATGGAAAATATAAAGAATTCCAAGGAAAATTTTCGTTGGAATGTAAGAGTTTTTTTTTTTTTTTTTTTT